CAAACCAAACAAAGACTATTGAAGTCAGAGAGACTAGGGTCCCCTGAAAATCCAGTGTCTTCCTTTCATCAGCCAGCTGGTTTTCTCACTGAAAATGGCAGACGGGCTGTAATCTGTGAAATCGTATTTTTTAATATTCCTTTGCCTTGGAAAGTGCAGTTAAAAATGCAGCTTTATATTCCGCCCTCCATAATAGTATTAGACAAAAAACAGGCAGAAACATGATCTTCTATATAACTAATCAGAATCTTTTTGCTGTCTCCATACATATTTTTCCCAGGGTGCTAGGATGGTAAATATTTTAGCAGAGGGAATTAACTCTACTTCTCTTCCTTTATGTTCTGTTATCAACGTGACTAGCCCACACCCTCACTTTGCCTCATTTTTGGCTCTGTTTCTAAACCCTAAAATTCCTGTTCCTGCATTGAAACACAATTAAATTGAGGCTTAATGTGGTGCCTGTTTTATGTAATCTTGCTTTCTGGCTTTTTTTATTCTTCCAAGTCTGAATCTCATGAATCAATGTGTATTCACGTTTCATCTGAAATTTTCTAACTCTCCTCAGTATGCCCTAAAGCTTGCCTTTTTTGGTTTATGAAATAATAATAAAAAGCTTAACTCTTCAGATTAAGTTGTAACTGCTTTATACATTAGACAGACAATTTCAGTTTAACAAAGTAAAAATGGTGTGAGAGAGAAATTGCAGCTTGATTATTTTTTAAAATATTCAGATTAGAATGTCATCTTTTATGAGTTTTTTTATAACCACTTAGATTGATACAACTCTCTAAAGCTGCTCTGTTTTTCATCACACATTCTCATCTGTAAACCCTTCATTTTTATTAATCTTTGTACAATCTGTACAACTTTGAGATTAATCATTTTAAAAGAGCTACTCTCCGAGTGTTAAGGATTTGCTGGGCTAGTGGTAAATGCAAGCGCTTCTAAATACTCTACAACACATAGCGCTTGCTTAGCGTTTTATGTTGCATAAGTATCAGTCTTTGTTTCCCAGTTATCTAGAGTTACGTTTTATGGCTGTGTTTCCAGGTCTGTTTCTGGCTGCCTAGAACCAGAGAACAAAATATACTGGCTCCTTTTTTCACCAACTAACTCAAATTCTAAATATTTATAGTCCAGTTCTGCCTCTGTGCTGTTCCCATTGAAGTTAAAGGGAGTTGTATATTTACAAGTAAAGGCAGAACTAGACTGGGAGGCCAAATCCTTCAGTCCTTGCTCGAACAAAAATTTCTGTTGGATCCTGGCAGGCCAGTTTGGCTGCATCTGGCCTTGCTTAGTTTTGACTCCTTTTAGGACTTGCGGAGGGATCGGTCTAGTGTCTCTCCTATAACTCTGGGCCTTGCTAGGGATTTTTTTTTTTTTTTCCTTCTTCAGTTAATTCAACTGTTGGCCCCCTGATTTTCCCCCTGGCCTTAGCCGAATTTCTCCTGGGGGCTGCTCAGCCCTTGGAGCAGGGAAAGACACAGCATAGGAGCTTTGGCTGTGCTTTCAGCCGTGCTCTGAGTGCACTTGCGGCTGGGCAGCGAGCGGCTCCGTTGGCAGTTCTCCAGGCTGCTGTGGTGTTGCCTGAGCAGCCTGTCCTGCTGGGAGTGAACGTGCGGGCCTTGGTCCCAGAAGCCTGTCTCTCCTGAAGTATCAGTGTTTACCTACCCTATCACTATCACTGTTCATCTGAACAGCGCAGTATAATCTCTAATGCGTCTTCTTTTCAATTTATAATGCATATGTTGTTAGTGGATCTGGGTGTACAGTGTACGCATTGCAGTGCTTTGGTGGAGATCTAGGCTGTTATCTAGTCCTGAGAATCTAGTGGGACAATATTTCATTATTATTCTTATAGATTTGGTGGCCGAAGCATATAAGGCATTGTCTCTTTGCCTGGTTAAACATAGAGTGCCTGACTAGAAAAGATGAAGGTTAAGGAATCTCCTATTCTCTTAAGATTTCCATTTACTTAACGTACTGCAGGTATAAATTCATGAGTTACTTGTATTGCTCATGTGTGTGGGGTTGCACCTGATCATTATCTCTTGTGTGCAATAAAGCAGGTGTTTGAGTTGCAGTAATATATTTAGGAGATTTGTATCGGTTCTTCTATCAGTGCTTTTATTTTAGTATATAGTGTGCAAACTGTGGTATACATTTTGTGGCATATATCATGGATGCATTGAGTAAAGGGGCTGGAAGAAAAACAAACTGTATTTCACAATGAGGTTACTATTGATGCAGAGTGAATGTTGAAGTTCAAGAGAGCAGTGGTGTAGGGACAGTCTGTGAAAACTCCTCCTTCAGTGTTCCAGTTTCTCCATTGACTGGAAAGAACATTCACCTGTTAATTTCTGTCTCCCTGAAGGTCAGATAATTCCATAGCGCTTCATAGTGAATAAATAGTATTTTAACCAAGAAATCTCACATAATCCATTTTGCTGTTGTCATCCATATGACCACACTGAGTACCAGCCAATGTTGATGGAAATGTGCCCAATGTAAGATGGGAACTAGGGTTCCTGATTATTAAAGCATCTCTCCTAGGGAGCTGGTTAAGTAGATGGCTGTTCATGACTTAGTATATTATGGGTCAAGAGACTCAGAAAACAGGTTTTAATCTTCAAGGCTTTGCAGTTGTATGTACAGTTTTAGTGAAGTATAACCAGAAATAATGGGAGGAAATATGAAAGAGGCTGAATGTTGAGGAAGGCTTCCCAAATGTGCAATAAAAATTGAGATGCAGATCATTTGGAGGATACCTCCCATTCATAGAGCCGTTCCTTAGGGTCCAGACAGGGTCTTTGTTCTGCTTCTTATTCCTGGGAGGAATTATTTCAGAACTGACTGGTCTTTACAAAAATGGTTATCACTGAAAGATGAAAACCATGTGAATTTGGAGGGAAAGATAGGCTGTATATTATGGTATAAGCTTTTACTGCATATTCCTGTTCCTCCTTCTAAAGTTTCTGTCCTGGGAATTCTTCTTATCTAACTTGTGTCTGTTGTTTATTGTAAGGTTGCTAGCACAGGCGTGAATGAGAGGTTACACGGTTACTCAGGGTGACTAATGTCTTGATTTGCTGCTACATTACAGATCAGGAATAACTTCTACTGCAGAGCTTCCTCCTTATAAATGGTAGTTCTCATTTCATTTCTGTTTTAAAATGCACTGTTTAATTTGTGATTAGCATGGGTATCACCATGGGTTGGGTGCTTTTCAACTTTTTTTTTTTTTTTACCATCTATGGACTTGCTGCCTTTCAATAGAGAGGAAAATTCGATGCTGGTGGAGAACCTGAATTAAGCGAATGGTCATTTGTTACTTGTATTAGGGAACAAAAGGCCACATCTGGGCCCTGAGCAGAGAGGAGACCCTATTTAGTTGAACATGGTACATATCTAGAGAAGAGTGTAGTCCATTTAAATCAGATATTGGTATCTTCCTTTATTTATTATTACAGATAATACTACAGATCAGAGACACTTTCTTGCCATCACCCTATAACTTACTTCATTATGGTCATCTGTTTGCCACTTAAAATTGAAATAAAAAGAGCATACCTTCCTAAAAGGTGTAGCCTTTGATTTGAATAGTCAGGTGGAGCCAGGATTTGAAACTAGTATTTTAAGCAGCGAAGAACTTGATCTAAAGGAACACATCTGCCAGGTGGCAGCCTGCAAGCCGCTATGGGGACGAATAATGAGGAATGCGACCCACACTCTGCAGTAAGAGCTGTTCACAAATACTGCTCCCCTCCTGTTTAGCGAGGTTTGCAAACCGTTTAGACATCTCCCGCATTCCAGTTCCACTGGCTGTTCTGCAAATCACTTAAGAGGTTTAAAACTTCCTTGTAATACTACTCTGCACATGAACTTTGAGTGAAGAGAAAGGAAGGACCAGTGAAATGAGAGTTTGGGCCTCAGGGACCCCTTCAAATTACTATTGCAAGCATTTGGCAAAGACTGGGATAACATCCTATGTATCCATCTTTGTCCATAGCCATGTGCCCTTGGGCTTTGTTCTGGGCTTTCTAATTTCTAGTGCAGTGTAAAACATGAGCACTTACTGTTGCCAATGTATATTAATACATGTGGCAAGGTACACACTAATGTAACATACTCATTTAAAAATAAAACCTAAAATTTATTTGCATAATGTTGATATTAAGAAGGTTGCAGACAGGAAACACAACAATGTTCCTGACATTCTGAACAGGAGAACATAGGATTTTGAAGAATATAATTAGATAAACATATGGTTGTGACACCCCCAAAACACAACAAAGGTTACAAATTTTTAAAATTATTGTGATGATGCTGCATGAGGAATCTTGAAAATTTATGCCTAGTAGGGATAGGCTGGTTTTGTTTTTTTTTATTTTATTTTTATAAAGGGTTAATTTGTAGCGCATCCTGCAAGCTGATATGTGGGATAAATAGTTTGGACACTGATTTGTAATCTCTGTTTATGAGTACATGACTGCTATTCTTATAAATGTCATCACTTTCTTGGTAGTATCTGGTAATTTCTGAGTCATGAGGTGCTGACAAAAATCCACTGCACTTAATGTGAAACTTGAGGCATTTTGCTCATTCCAAAAGATATTAGCAATAGCCAGCCCCACATTTAACTGATAAATAACGTGTACATGTGCACATGACACAGTTATGCTGCTATACGGATTTTTTCCTCTTACCTAAAATCTTTGTGGAAATACATCAGAGTTCAAATCATGACAATTGTTTTTTCTGGATTGTCTTAATGGATACTGATAGATGTATGTATGGAGTCAATGCATTGTGCCAGTGGGAGCAGATCCATACGAAGGCGGAGCAGGCTTCCTTTGGTGGATTTCATTTGAACTTGGATATCCTGGCTATAAAAGTGAACTCTGCATATGTTGTCACCAACTTAAGAAATGAAACCTCTCACCTGGAGCTGAGTACTGAAAAATATTTCATTTCTCCATTATTCCCCTCTTTATTTACAGCCATACAGCAGGATATGAAAATGAGAACCACAGCGCTCCCATGTTATACAGCTGTGGGGCCCAATACAGAATACACACCCATGGAGTTTTTAGAGGCATACAAGTGAGTATAGTAGGGCATTCTTCATAGGGAAGTAAAACTGCTGCCTGTTTATAATGTTCATTTACTACTTCACTGGTATTTATAAATCCATCCTTGATTTGCGGTTTCCCTGTGTTATCAAGAAGTGCTTTACATAAGTGTCCTGACTTCACTGAAGCCATTGAAGTATAAGATTTCTTTCTGACACAGTCATTTAAAATTGTTTATTTCTTCTTCTAAAATATATCTGCAAGACAATATTCCTTACCAGCTTCTCAGGATGGTCCAAAATACATGATCCAGTTTCCAAGTTCTAGCTCCAGTCACTTTGGCCGTGTGAAGCTTCAGTGGTTACAATGAACTACACCTGATAACTATATATAAGAAAGTGTTAGATGATATTTTGCTTTTACAGATTTCTGAAACCTTACTAATTCAAACATATTTTCTTAAGACAAAATATAGTAAGTGATTGTTTCCTAATGACTAAGTAATTAGTGAATATTTGGAGGTACTTACCATTCATGGGAGTTAATTTCATCCCTTTCTGAAACAGTCATATCATCAATAAATACCACTGTAAAAGATACACCTTCTTAAAACTGATGGCAGAGTCATTACATAATATTTGTCTGTTCTGTGTTGCTCTGTGTTGTCAACATACATCAATGTTTTTAGGCAGCATCTTTTCTCCTTTTCCTTTTCTGTATAGTTTAACAAGTCATTATTCAGTGGCAAGCTCTCAGAAATAAGCTCGTGAGCCAGCTTTTGTTGAGGGAATAAAAGTAAGCAGTTGACATTGTTTAAGGAAGTTAATTATCCCAGAAGGAGAAGATCATCTTTGATGGAACATTGTGACAGTGGCCAAAATGCATTAAAGCTGAACTATTCACCGGCTCCACCTAGAGAGTCTTTCTTGTTTTGTTTTTTACCGATTTGTATTAACCCAATACATTAATTTCCCTCTCCTTTAACTTCATATGAGTATTTAAAATAAAGAGGAGAACGCTACTCTGGCTTGTGCTCTTATCTCTTGCACTGGTATAAGCCTAAAACTATTTCATATGCCAATGAGTGTTTTTCCAGGATTGTGTGATTATACATGAGGTCAGAATGTGGCCCATTTAATCTTGCATATAAATATTGGTGAGAGAATTTAATAAGTAGAGTTCACTGTATTTCGCCTTCAATTAATTTTAATACTCTGCAAAGAACAGATTAAGGTTGTACTTAGTTAATGTAGAATAAAATAAAATTGCCTGTTTGCAGTATAATATATTTAAGTATCTCTTTGTCCTGGAGAAGTGCCTCTAATTGTTTGTCTTTGAATATGTTAAGTAAAAGCTTGAGAACATTGAGAACATACATGTTGCATTAGCAAGTCTCTGTCATTGTAGGATGTCCGACGGGTGCCAGGAGTAGCTCCAACTATTGTCCGATCAGCAAGTGAGACAAATGAAAAGCGTCCCTTCATGTGTGCGTACCCTGGCTGTAACAAGCGATACTTTAAGTTGTCCCATTTACAGATGCACAGCAGAAAGCACACTGGTAAGTGTCAGCATGGATTGGTATAAATCACGTTACAGCACCGGACAGCAAAGTGGGTAGGGTGATTTTAAAATAGCATAAGGTGCAAAAAATGATCTGCCAGGTCAGGGGCAGCGAGAATCTGTCAGATGAGGGATGTATGTGCTCTGTCATCTGGGCAATCCTTCTTTTGGATGCAGAAGACTGAATCTAGTGAAGAAAAACACAGGGCAGCGCTGACAGCAACTAGATCACCTCCCTCCCTCTCTTACTATTATAGGGCATCATTCAGGGCTGTGAATCTTCTTTTTTTTTTTTCTTCATTTGGGAGCATCAAAGCTTGTTCCAAATCTTAACTGTTGTAACTGTTAAGAAGTTTTCTCTGCAAGAGGAACCTAGACATATAGCATCCTCTTGTCCTCCTGTGTAAGCCTTTTCTGGTTGGGGGTGGAGGCAGGGATTGGCAAATGAGCTTCCTTGCTGTGGGATCTTTCCGTGAAGAATTGAGCCTGAAGCCAGTCATTTGTAGGCTAAGATCTGGATTCCCTCTGAGTTCAGGCAATATAAGTTACATCTCAAAATGTGGAAATCAAATGCCCTGCTGCAGCTTGCCAAAGAGTAAACAGAATTATTTCCCTTATTGGGAGATTTATACTGTTGGAAATGTAAAATTATGATATACCTTTAGATATGCTCCTTATGCATTTTTTTTGACTGCCTATCATATTTTTATTTAGACAGTTCTTTCTGTGCTAATCTGTGGATAAAATCTGTAAATATGGATGTTCAGTCAGCTATTAATATGACGGAAGGTCAATGGGATGAAACAGACAACAGGAAGGCAGTCCATACTGACCTAGCAGATTGTCTAACATTTCATAAAAAATAGTTGCAAAATTTTCCTGGAGACCATGTGGTGATATCGGTTAATTGCGTAAAATACTTATAGGTGAGAAATGAACATTATAAAGAATTTTTAATTCCTGAATGGGCAAGTCACAAAATATTCAGATAGACATCTTCAATGTTGCTCAGATTACACATTCAAGATAATTTAGATTGTAACTGGAATTTAGTCTTTAGAGGTGAAGGTCTACAGAAATGCTATTCTATTTTCTATAAATAAATTGGAAACAAGAAAATTTAGAGATCTTTTGGGGTCCATTAACTGCAGTATTTTTCTCGAGCATGCCTAAACAGTTCTGAATTTTTCTCATAATCACGGTTTCTTTCATTCCTAAATTGATTTACTCTGTATTTTAACAGTCATAATTTGTTTGTTCTGGTCCTGTATTTTATTCTATTTAGTTGCTTGGCTTTCGCAATATTATTTCTGGATGCATGACAAGGACTTCAGGTTACATCGTTTTTTTTTCCTTAACTGGAGAAGATTTTCAGAATTATACCACATATAGTCTAAGCATGTAGGGTCACAAAAGCCGCAAAGGACGTAGGGGATAGGACTATGGCCGTCTAACATCCTGAGAGAGACTTTTCCCATTGTCTTTGAGGTCATACATGCACCTCCTTTGGTTTACTCTATAGTGGAACAGGGTAGAGGAAAAACATTTTTTTCCCTTCAAACATCTCTTCTGTACAGGTGGGCCCAGATCTTTCTGCCACTATATTTTGATGTGTTGACAACAAAACTTATTTATTTCTCAAACGTTTGCAAGTTACTTTCCATAAGAGGCCAACTTGATTCCCAAAGCTTGTATTTGCTGATACAAACATTGCCATTGATAACACCGTGTAAGCTTTTGAGGTTGGTTGCAGCTAAAGAGGGGAAGCAAGGGATAGTGCACTGCTGGTATAAGAATTGCTTGGGTAACTTGCCTGGCTGATGCATTCAGATTTAGGATCAGAAGGGAGTTCTCCCCTTTATCAGGCTGGCAGGGTTTTGTCCTCAGCCTGTTGTATAGGTACTAGCCATTTCCTATGATTATTGTCTGGAAATTTTACTTACCAAATTCCCAGCTGCTGTAGAGACTTAGAATATGATGCTTTTCATTTCTTGTTTCCTCTTGTGGTCTGTTAGTCCTAGTTTTTGGGAGTGCTTGGTGAACTATACTATATGGGAGCATCTGGAGTGGATAGTCTATGAAGACTTCTGAGTTAACATATTTTCTTGGCTGCTTGGTGTGGTGGAGGGTCTGGATTTGGTGGCCATAATGGTCTTTTTCAGTCCCATGCTCTTCAGGAGTTCTGAAGAGCAGTTGAACTGACTGTTGTGATGCAAAGCCATTTCCAGTCTCCTTTGTAAATTCATGTCTTTGTCTGTCCAAACCTTATTTGTGTCTCCTGCGTGTGGAAAACCTGATTGTCAAAAGCAAAATTTGGAAACCGATTTTCTCCAAGGGCAGATCAATCATTACTATGAAGAATGCGTGTGTCTTGTTGATAACAGTTGTAGCTACAGTTCACGCTTCTCTGCACCTTCTTTCTTTTCTCCACCTGCTTGTTTTTATATGTTAGGGGATGTCTTAAGGGGCCAGTATGGCTCGAGTGAGGCTGTTGGTTTATGTTGATAATTATGCGGGTGTCTCTTAGGCTCTCTGATCATCTTTTTGTTTGTAACCCAATGAACTCCAAAACCCTATTCTAGAGTTCTCTATTAGGTACAGAAATTGGACTTGGTGGAATTAGCATATTGGACAGAAAGTCGTTGGCAAACATAACACCTCATGTTCTTACTAAACAAAGGGATGTGTCTCTTCTTTGGCTTCAATGTTTTGATGGGGAGGAATCCTGATGAGCCAGTCTAAAGTCAGGAGAGCTGTCAGATGTCAGCTGAAGTGAAGGATAATTTGGTTGTGTTTGGTATACCTCTCTACAGCCAACATAAAATTTTACTAGTCCTCCTATAAGGTGATTCTGGATTCACTCATGGGTTTGAAGCTCTTCCACCTTCCTTAGTGTAGTGGTAGGTCAATTTTAAAAATTATGAACACATGATTTGAGAACAAGCTGTTAACATATACCTAATATTAAACCAGCAGATAGTATCTTTGCAGAATAATGTTGGCTCTTGATTATCTTTTTTCTTTCTATAATAGATACTTACAGAGGACTGGCTCATCAGATCTTCCATTCTTCACTGGTTGCAGTATTGCAAAATCAGGCAGGGCCCTGGATTCTGTAATCAGTTTTTACCAATGTTTCAACATAGCCCTAGTTGAAAATATGTTGACATTTTGTACCCTCCAAGACTGCTTATCCATTGTTAACAATGCCTTTATTGAAACATGTACAGCCAAAAAAGCTTTTTTCTTATCTTGGTGTATTTTGCTGCAGTAGATAGGCCTCTGAAAGAAAATGCAAAAATACATATAACTTTTCAACAGTACAGCAAATAATGTGAGTTGTCATCCTGTGGCAGAATTCAGAGACTTCTTTGATGAAACAAGTTGATGTCTAGACCTCCATAAATTTCATTTATGGTGGAAACATCAGCATTCTTGCCAGAGACCCTTTGGGTTCAGTGCCACACATTGGAAAAACTGGATTTATCCTAACGGAAAGCTGAGCATCTTTGCAGAGAAAATATCCTCTGCCTCTTTGCCAGGGATATTCTTCAGCCTAAATATGCTCAACTGCAGGTATGAGCTTCTACAATGAAGTATGAGAATCTGTAAATCAGGAAGGCTGTCCTTTATGTGGTAGGGGACTCAGGTCTCAGTGGTGAATTTCTGAGGCTCTGGGGGGGGTGTAAGTAATGCAGTCTAATAATGATTTTTATGCTAATCATCTACCAATGATTTCTTTGCTTTGACAGAAGCAAATATCCTTTTACTATGGCATGTGCCACTGTGCTGCTAAATGCTTTACAGTCATTAGTGCAGTTCATCATTACAACACCTTTGAAAGACAGAGCTATGTCCTCTATATACAGAGATGATAAATTGATAAATGGGTGTAATTGTGGTTGAGCTGGGAACTGCACAGGCTCTCCTCTTAAGAGTCGGGTATGGTAACTTCTAGGGTGGCACTCTTTCATTAACGTTGCTTTGAAATACTGACCTTCATAGTTAAGCCATGGAATACCATTCTGCAGAATACTGTGGAAGCTGAAAGTTTACGTGGATTCAAGAAACAACTGGACAAATTAATGGAAAGAAACTCCATTAAGGAGTGTTAAATAGAAAGCCACCTTTGGCTTAGAAAGTTGCTAACTCATGAACTGCTGGATACTAGGAGAGTGTGCAAGGAAAGTACTGCTGCATCCTTGCTATCTTCTGCTCTCCTGCAGGCATCTTCGGTGAGCCACGGTGGGAGACTGCTGGGCTGGATGCACCTTTGGCCTCACCCAGCATGGACTGCTTTTAGGCTTTCATTTCTATGGCATAAAATAAGAATACTTATGTATTTAAAATATAAAATTAGTTTCAAAACAGTAATGACATCTCACACCTGAACTACAGTGTGAAGATAACAGAGAACGTTACCTGTAAAGGCTCCCTACTGAATAAAGAAACATACATTCTATCTAAGTTTGCTAAAGCAAATTATATTGAATAGAAAAATGTTATATTAGCGAGGTAAAGTTGTGATTATGGGGTTGTGCTCATTTGATTAAGTGGGTGTACAAGAAAATAGGTTTAAATTGGTGAAGGGAGTATAGACAAGCCTTCAGATTCTCATTCAGACTTGCAGTCTCTGGTTTCAAAATTAGCCTCTACTCCTCATGTTTTCTTGTAAGTGGTGGGCTTTTGCTCTTGGAGCGCTCCTTAATTAAATGCAACGATTATGAATATTTCGTGCAACTGCTACAGCAGTAGAAATTTCTGTTTTCCCATGCATCTGGGCAAGTGAATTTGCTCCAGAGAAAATGTGCATGCTTTCTCTAGTTTAAGTTAACTATTTTTGAGCAAATAGGTTTATTTTATTAGAAGCATTTACTGCGATACGTGCAAAGGCTGATTCATACTTCTTCTGCGATTGTTGAGCTTTATTTTTTCTAAATATTTTCCTAAATATTAAAGAACTGCTATTCCTTCTATCCTCTCTCATCTTGACTATTTCATTATGCACTAAGTTTAGCCTTTCTTTTGTGTGCCCTCTTTCAATAATGAAATGTAAATAATCATGGAAGCCTCCAAGTCGCAGGTGGAAGGACTGGTGAAGCTTCATCTTCATCTCCTCTTTTGTTTTGAAATTGTATATGGTCACATAGGAAGGCGACAGCATTATGGGATATTTTTCATACATTACGAGATGTAAGCCTTTTACTGGAGAGGCTTTAATAGGCCTGGGGAAACTAGACACTGCTCTAACCCCTCTCGTTATAGTGATTTAATGAGGTACTAACAGACTTTTTCTAATCTGGGACATCTCTGTCGTCCTGTGCTGATGAAACTTATGGAAGTTGACAGGTATGTGACAGTTGGCTTTGGCAGGCATTTTGCTTGGCACTAGCTGACGTGGAAGATGTAGAAGGAAAGGGAAATTAGGATTTCTGTCTAAATATTGTGCCTCTTTTTGTTTGCTTGCTTTTTTTTTCCATGCAGTGTCATCGTATCTCTGTGGAAGCATCTTGGATTGATGACTTTAATATATGCATTGGTTAAATTTGTCCTTAATTTAATCAAGATTATATTTCAAAGTATTTAAAGAAATACTTTCCTGTGCATGCCCATCAGATCCGTTATACTGTTTTATTCAAATAACTCCTTAACCATCTTCTGCGTTTATATTGCAATTAGCAGACAATCATCCTGTCACTGCATTCTGCTCTGCTGACATTCCCCCTCTTAAATCTGCCAAAGGGCTGAATTCCTTGCAAGTAAGTGGTTTCTGAAAAGCAGGCACCCCCTAGGGAGTCCTTGCGGTCAAAGTGTATGGAACTATTTCAAACACCTGTGGCAACTTTAATCCCTTATGCTAATAAATTAAGCACAGCAGACATGGAAATTGTCCACACCTAGGTTTGAGAATCAGTAAACTCCTTTGGGTGACTGTCGCAGGAAGTTAGCTTGTTCTTGCAGATTTAGTTGCTTTTGTAAAATTTTGATCTTTAGCTGCGCCAGTATGAATCTGGAATGTTCTCCTTAATATGCTACTTATACTGTGTCACCTAGATCAGCAGGCTTCTGCTTTAAACTGAACTAGTTTGCATTGGTATCTCAGAACACCAGTGCAACCAGAATACATTCGTCATCATAATAAAATCAGAAATGCAGACACTTGCAATGAAGATTTATGAAAGTGATATGTGTTTAAAAATATACCCAGAGAAATTAAACCCACTGCCCACTTCGGCTGGTGTTTTTCTTTAGGTCCTTCCTACCGGACCTTTGTTTCACATCTCAGCTTTCCACCGTAGACAAAGCAGGTCCCAGCTGGTCTCGTGTGTATCTTCCAGATAAAACCCAGGATCCTCCCAGCTTTGCAGTGAGAGATGTTGCATTACTTCTTGTGCTGAGGCCTCTGTGCAGGGCTGTGGCACTGTAACCAGACTTTATGTAGGTATAAATGTAATTATATCTGAGGCTTTTGCAGGATTCCAGTGTTGTGCAAAGGGGCCTTAGAACAGATGCGAATCAGATCTGAAAGATCATACAGCTTCTCCTGTAACAACGTAAGGATTTTTTTTTTTTGTGCTGGCCAAATTTCACCAACTCTGTATGCTACATGCCAGCAGTGTGCCCCTCTTTCCACAAGCTCCTTGATTGCTGCATTTCTTTTTGCATGTTTATGTGGTTGGTGACGTCCTTTGCATTGAAAACCATGTTCATTTGAGACACTAGTTTGTAGGGATTTAATTTTTTAAGAAAGTCAGAATCTCACTTTTCGTCCCAGAGAAAACCCATCCTGAGGATCTCTGCTGAACTGTATGGGAGGTGGAGGAAGAGTTTATATTTATCTGAGGCTTTCCAATAATTCATAGATTTGCCTGCAGGAGGTGTGCAGCTACATGAGAAATTCTATTTAATGGTGCTTTATGGAAGAAACATCATTTGTGTTTTGGGGAAAAAAATGTATTTTTCTGTGATTGAATTTTGCTCAGTTTCTTTTAATTTATTTAGTGTGGTTAAAATTGCCACCTACATGGATGTCATTTGTTTAGTTTTTGTTTTAAATCCAATTTAGAGCAAACTGCAAGTTGTTCCCTTGTACAAATTATGTATTACTGAAACAGGTAGAAAGGGCTTAATAGAGTTTTCAGAGAAATACAAATCAAGGGACTTCTGTTCTTTTCCAGCAGAAAACAATGAAAAAACCCTCATGCAACCTGAAATTTTTTGCAGCTTTAACCTAATGGGCTATTTTTTTGGAATGAGCAGATTCAATATCAGTGTCAATGCCGTAGAATTATGCCAGTTGTTCCCCACTGATTCCAACACAGCTGTATGGTTTTATAGCAAATGAGTCCTGATGTACCACTAGACTGCTTTAGACAGGAGAGAAGTCTTTTAGTGTAACACATTTCATCTTCTGATTCTAGTTGATGTTCCCTTATTTAGCCACATTTTCTGATAAACTGTTTGTCCTTTACAGGTGAAAAACCTTATCAGTGTGATTTTAAGGACTGTGAACGAAGATTTTCTCGTTCAGACCAACTCAAACGGCACCAAAGACGACACACAGGTTTGTTGGCAACACATTGCTATTCATTAGAGTTCATCTTTATATGTGAATTGCGATCCAAAAAGTATACTTCTAAACCTCTATTTTTCTGATGTTGTGTCTGCTCATACACGATACCTGTAGTGCCAAATTCTTGAGGTTAGCTTTAGGAGAGGACTGCAGCTGACGTTTTTTGTTGGCATTTCAGCACTACTATGGTTGTATAGGCGACCCTTTAATCCTGCCACCATCTTTTTGAAATAGCTTTCTTAATGAAACTGTTTGCTCTATACTGCATCCCCAATATAGGGAATATATTATTTTTACAAACCAAACAGTTCTGCAAGAAAAAGTTGCCAATGAGTAACCTGATAAACGCTACTGTTGGTATTCTGATGTTTGTGTGGCAATGCTAATAGGTGAATGCTGCCTGTGCATAACCTGAAAGGTTGGTGGAATTACTGTGCATTTATACGTGGAAAGCAGAAGTGGAGAAGCAAAAGCCACACCAGCTATAATGCTTAAGACCCTAATTCAGCAAACCACTTAAGCTTAGATTTGAGCCTTTCTTGAATTCTGCCAACTAAAGAAGGATTCTAGGAGCAGCAAGGAGAGAAACGTCAAAGATCTGGCTGGATGGATTGCACAAATAACCCGGAAAATGTGTAGCAGTTCACATACAGCAGAGAGGGCAGCAGGAGTCATGAATGGGTCTGGGTCCTAGCTAGACTATCTTTCTCAGTGAATCATTTACTGGGTGAAGTGTTCCGAGACAGCCAAAACTACTTGTGAGTTCAGTCCAGATTCAGCAAGTTTTTGCACATACACCATTTTCTGGAAGCGTCAAGACAGCCCATTTCAGCATTTCAGGAGTTCTTGGAGGTCTAGATCAGATTGACAGGGGAGACAGCTGCCCTTCTCAAAGTCACAGAAGAGGAGAGGGTGATGACTCCAGCCTCCTAGCTGGGAGTGGAACCATGAGGGCGCTCTGCACGGAACATGAGAAAGGGCTTCAGAGTACTCCTCCGACTGAGTCAGAGCAAGAAACTGCATTTGGGTCTCCTGTATCTCAGGGTGTGTCCTGACAATTGGTTTACTCACTGTTCTGTGGTGGATTTCTGCCTACTACATTTCTTGCTAAAGATGTTCTATCCCACTTAAACGGTGTTATTGAGAGATGTAGGAAGTGTCTCTGGAAGCTGGTGGTAACAGTACTCTATTGGGATGATACATTTTTAGCAACTGCATGCTAGAACACATCTGTGTTAAGCAGTCCCCAAGACTTATGTGTAGTGTGCAAAGTAAGTGGCAGAAGTGTGAGGTAAGTTAAGCCTATTAGGAGCATATAGAAATATACCTCTGCACCTTTATTCTTCTTATGTCATATTTGCTCATACATGATACCAATTGTGCCAAGCCACAGGATCAGAATTAACAACATTTGCGGATCCTCCTTAGTCCAACAGTATAAGTGGGTGTTTCTTTATGATGGTGCTGTTTGGATGCTTCAGACCCAGACATCG